TCATTATCATTACTGGAAAGACATGGAAACCTAGTGTCCATACTGGATTTAGACATTTTAAAGCCGCACACAGCCAGGTACCTATAGACTCTGGGGAGACCACAGTGGAGAGGTGTACATTTCATTCATCCTCTGGTTCCACCACTTATTAACTCTGTGCTCATTGGCATGTTATTTATCCCTTTGAGCCTTGGTTTTCTTAGCTATACAGCACAGCTGATAATTCCCTTGTCACAGGATTACTGTGCCATTTGGAAGTCATGCAGCAGTTATGTGACTCTGCATTCAGCGAACATTTCTTATACATCAGGTGCATGCCATATGCTCATAATGTCCCTGCCTTCCTGGAATCCATTTTCTAGTGGGAGAGGCAAGTGTACATGGTAAACAAATAAACAAAGTAAGTGCCAATCGACCATTGTGAAAGAAAGAAACTGATGAGTTGAGAGGTGCCCCTTTTGTTTTCTTACAGGGTGGTCACAGGCAGAGTGGGAAGTACCTGGCGCTGGGGGCTCTTTGTGTCTGTCACTTCCCCTGACTCCCCTGCTGGTTGGCTTCAGGGGCTCCCAGCAGATGATTTGGTGTCCTCACTGCTGGATAACCTCAGCCACCCCAGCCCTGCTCAGCTCAGCACTCAGATGCCACACCACCACACAGGGAGGCTGGGAACACCCAGATTGTGTTCCTAATATCACATACATCTTAGAAGTGTCCCTTCTGTCCACAGCTCTGTGAATTCAACAGGATACTTACATCCAAAAATCTCAGAGTAAGCTTTATCTTTCAAGAGCCTGAGTCTGAATGAGGTTAAGACTTGTCCCAAGTCACCCAGCTAATGAGGATTGGACTTTAAGCTCTTAAATGCTGGGATTGTGTATGTCTTCTCACACCTGTATTTTTAGTACTGTGCTTACCTCACAGTAGGCCTTCAGTAAATATTTGCTGAATGAATGGGAAAAGATGGAGCTAAAATTCAGATTATCTGCCTGCCTGACTTCAAAGATTAAATGAGTAACTATATGTAAAGTGTTTGAACATGCCTGCCATACAATAGGTAACCAGTTATGTATCTCTAAATGTTAGCCATAATTTTTAGAATTGATTATTAAGTTTTCATGGTCTAAGAAATAATCACTGATCAACTTAAAGAAAAACTTTGTAATGCAATACGTGTCTACTATTAACAGATCATTTATGCTATTTTATATACTTTTTTGATGCACTGTTATATACAGGATGTTCTTGCCACTCTGGGGTATCACCCTACAGTGAGGTTTTATTTACTGCATTTATTCACTCCAGAGTGAGAAGGATTATTGTTTCGACATGAGCCAAAGTGAAAATGAGGCATTTGCAGCTCAGTTTTTACCAAGTGGTGGGAAGGATAGTCGTGGGGAGGCCAGGTGCTTCTCCTAGTCGCCTTTCCCAGATCTGCCTGTGCATGATGGAAGGACCGTTTTGACTCATTACTCTTTGCAACTGAACAGTCATCAGAATTTCCCCCACACCGTGAGGGCAGGTAAACTTAGTGCCAGCCCATAAATGATATGCCCCCCATTGAGCAGCTCTCACCTACCTTTCTTTACTCCAGGTGGTAGTAATTCTTAGGGAAGTGGTCGGTTTGCTCGCTCTCCCATCCCACCTCCTTGGAGACACAGAGCAGTCTCATATAATTGCCTTACATCCTTTCCTAAAGGCCTTCATAGGAAAACCCCCAAGGGTGTCACCTGATGGAGTAAAGGGTTCACATCTTTTAGTCATTTTTATTTCTATCAGCAAGAAGTATATCTTGTTGGCTACCTTACCACATGGAAATGGAGGATGCTGTTGCTCCAGCTGAAGGAGGCAGTGTGGGGCTCAGACCTTCTCATACCTCCATCTCTGCACCCCTGATCCTTGCTTTTCCCCTAAGTCAGTGTCAGCTGTGTTCTAAAGTTTGAGCCATTCTAAGAACAGAACTTTAATCTCCATTATTAGAGAGTAAACTGCTTTTCCCCTTCAAACATAGTTCCCCACCCCCACCGTCCTTTCTGGATTACTCATGTCATCGTGCATTTGGTCACTTTTGCAAGGACCAGTGGTCTGCTGGGTTCAGTGAGAGGGCACAGAACTGACCCCAAAGGCTTCCTTGGAGAATCAAATCTAAGGACAAAATGCTAGAGTGGCTGTGACTCCAGTGTGGCTTCAAATGGACTTTCCCACCTTGTCATACCTAGGCTTTAGTCCCAACTCCACCCTGCAGGCAGTGTGGCTTAGAACCAACCTTCCCAGCCCCACTTTACCTTCCATGAATGGGGTTGGACATCAGCCTCAGGGACATGGTGGTGACTGACCATGATGCTGCATGCAGACCTTCCAGACGGATTTGATGCACTGGGAGCTCCTGGTTGGTGGTAGCTGCTCCCTGCATGCTATTGCAACAAATAGAGATTTTTCACAGAAAATCATATCATTGTGTTGTTACTTATAAGACACCAGGTTCCATGACAAAGACTTATTGCCACCTCCAAGAACCCTGTTCCCCCTTACCTGACAACCCTAGGCTGCAGAGAGACCACCCAGCTGCTGAGCCATTATGGTGCACACAGAGAACACTGGGGTTGTCAGGGGCTTGGTGAGTGTGACAAGGGAATTGAAAACTGGAAGGCCTTACTGAATCTCAGTTATGTCATATCCCTGAGCCAACCAAGAGCCCAGTGGGAGAGGTCCTCTCAACTGCAGTCATTAGCACTGCCATCAGCACCCTCCAGCCTTGTATTTATGTGAATCACATACCTTGTATAGCCTACACTGAGGTAACGAAGAACTGATTCAAAACACTGAGAGTCGGAAAAGGCTTGGGTTTTCATTAAACCAGAGTAGCTTTGCAGAGGCCTCTGAAGTATGAGGGAGAATATAGGGGTAGGTAAAGCTGGAGTTTGGGCTGCTTATAAAACCATTTGTGCATATATTTACGTTACACCCAAGGAGCTGTGGAATAGAGTTGGTTTCCATTAACGCCAGAACAGACGGGGACTAGCCGGCCATGGTATGTTGAAGTAACACCCATGACCGAGTATCCTCCTTTTCAGCAATTCCTATACTTCTTCAAGATTTAACTCAAAATTCACCTTGCCAGAAGCATCTATTTAACTCTGCTCCTGCTCATCTTTCTGGAACTCTGAGGCTCCAGCAGTTTTGGTCTTAATGATTATACATGTTTTAAAATTCCTACAACTCTGAGTGTGTGTGTGTGTGTGTCCCTCTTTCCTTGTAGTATTTTTAAAATCCACGCAGTTAGTGTCATCTTAGGTCATGCCTGTTCCTGTCACCTGCGGCTACACCGCATCCCGACGCCCTCCAGCTCTCTGCCCTGAGATCGGAGTGGTCCCTGCCAGAGGCCTTCTCCTCAAGTCCACTTCTCAGACTCTTCAAAGGCTTTGGGGACCTTAGCATGGAGGCCAGGATTCATGGGGCCCCATCTCCTCATCCACCCATCTATGTCTGGACCTTGCTACCAATGCATACACTTCTGCTCTGCCCTCCAGCCTGTGCACCCCAGGCCTCACACACAGGCCTTTCCTCCATGCTGTTCCCTCTGGGGAAACACACTTCCCTCTTCTCCTGGCTGCCCCCTCCAGCCTCTAGTGCCTCTTGTCCTTCCTTTTCTTAGTACTCTGTTAACACTGTTTTAGTGTTGCTGCTGCTGTTTGTCTCCACGACCTCCAGGCAAATGCACCCTCTATGAGGACAGGCCCTTTGTGGCTGCCGCATTCTCTCTCCCTGGGCCCTGGCACACTCCGTGCCTGCCTGGCAAAGAGCAGCAGAGTCTCAAATTGAATGAATGAATGGATGACTCACATAAAGACTGAATAAGATAATATATGTAGAGCATCTCCTGTTGTGCCTGGGATGTAGCGGGTCCTCAGTATATGGCTGACCGTTTCATTGATTCATTCGTTCATCCTGTTAAAGTGCCTGGCCACTGTCTGTGGGAACATAGCAGCAGATGAAACAGATACTTCGAAAGTTTCTCAGCCCTCATGGGCCATGCATTCTGTGGTTATCCTCTTTCAGCCCTTCCCTCAACCTCTGCCGTATCCCTCTCTCTCGGCCCCTCCTGAGACAGAGGTCACCAAACTGCAGCCTCTTCTGCTGGAGTCATCTTGGCAAGGGATGAGGCCTTGGGGCTTCTGGTAGACTCAGGCAGTTCCCAGGCTGCTGAAGGTAGAATAGTGGTTCTCTGCCCTCGCTGGAGTAACAAGGTCGGGAGTAAAATAAGAAAATAAGAAAAAGAAAGTGAAACACTACAATGTAGCTGCTCCTTAGGACTTTGACATGGTTGGTTTTCTTGCTTAACACCTGGGACTGCACAGAGTGCAGGCCTGGGTCTCCCAGAAGTGCTTATAGAGCCAGACCTAAGCTTTTCCTGAGCTTCAGTAAGGAGTCACCTCAGCCTCTTCCTCTGCAAGGCCAGAGCCACCACCACTGGGCCCTGAGGAAGACAAGGCCAAAGCTAAGCTGTGCCGGGCAGCTGCCACCCCAGAACCGTGCCCGGCATTCCACCGTGGACGTGCGCCTGCCTCTGCTGGTCAAGGCTTAGGAATCGTGAGGGGAAGTCTTCATCTCCAAGGTGATTCAGGCGTGAAAGTGAAGTCTCACTGGAAGAAGCAGCCCTCAGCATTGTATGGTTGGCAGTCCTCTCTTGAAACCTGCCCGCTACGCCAGGCAGGGCCCGTTTCCCAGTCTGAAGTTCCTCATCCTTTCCCCTGTTCCGGTCCAGAATGCTCTCGGCAAACGGACGTCAGCTGACCAGTACCGATGGGCTTCTTTGCCCTTCCACTGGTAACCTGCGTTTTCTCGGGAATCACTTGGAAATTGGATCTTGTAAGCGCCAGAGCTCTCAGGTCTGCTGACCAATTAGGGTAGGAGGGCTCCCTGCGCCCCACACCACCACTTACAACTATTGCTGCTCTTGCCTGGAACCCTGAGGTGATAAAATCATCTTGTTTTCATTGCAGAAATTTCCAGAATTGAAATTCAAATATGTGGAAGAGGAGCAGCCTGAGGAGTTTTTCATCCCCTATGTCTGGTCTCTGGTCTACAACTCAGCAGTCGGCCTCTACTGGAACCCACAGGACATCCAGCTGTTCACAATGGATTCCGACTGAGGGTGGGGCACCACCTCCCACCCTGTCCCCTGCCCAGTCCAGCAGCCCTTCTAGTTATTTTCTTCCTGGGGAGCAGAAGTAGACAGATTGCCTGGTGTATCCTCTATTAAAGAGGGTCACACAGGCGTGTTTCCCTTGCGCACTTGAATTTGGAGAATTGGTGCCATTTGGCAGTAGATCACTCAGCTTAGATCATAGTACAAAACGGGGGTGGGGGAGTACATAACAATAATAAATGTAAAAACCTGCTATTCCACATGCAGTTTTATTTCTAAACCAAAAATCTAGAGCTTTTCCAGGAACCTGATGCCTTGGGCATATATAATACTTCACCAGTACATACTTTTTTTTGCATGTTCAAGATTTTTGTTTTAGTCTATTGTGTGTATGTGTTTCTTTCACCATTAAGGAATTCCCATCTGAAAAGATGACAAGACAGGAATCAGTAAGGAAATGAAGTCGTGTATGTGTATGTAGTAGGGTTGCCTTTCAAAAAGCCACAATTTAATAACATTGCCCAGGCAGCTGGATATGAGCCTTCAGATTTCTGCATCTTTATGTCAAAGAGAGAAATGCTCCTCGTGAAGCCTGGATTATCTTTTCTGTGGACTTGGCCTCTGAGCTTTAGCTGAATTAAATTGGAGTCTAGCACAAATCCAGTTAATCTATGTGTGTTAATCATTGGGAAAAGAAAAACTTCATTTTGAAAGTAGTCTTTTTTCTTCAGAATAACAGGAGAAAAGGCGACCAATTTGATTAATACAGTATTCCCCATGAGATGAAAAACATGTTTTTCTCTTTATTTCTGACTGTTTAAATTCTTTGGGGCCCGTACAATCCACATGTTCGGCCCTGAGCTGGAGGAAGGAGTTTCTCTGAGGGAAACGGCCATCGGGGCGGCCCTGGGCGAAGGCACTTGGCGGAGCAGCAGGCGCTGGGGGCAGAATGGGACTGTCATTTTGAGTCCTGCTCCATGTCCATGGGCACTTCTTTAGTCTAGATAAAGAGCTGAGTTTCATTCTCAAAGACATAAAAATATTTGCTTTTCTGCATAGAAAGCCCATAATCCCCGGTGGGACTGAGCACCATTTCAACCTGCCGTTGTCCAGCCTGTGTCAGGAACCAGCCTCCTTCCTGTGCCTGTGTCCTTGGGCCGGAGGCCTGAGTCATCTCTGTCCGTCTCCAGTCACACCAAGCTTGGGGGAGAATACCGCCGACACTTAGCGCACATCTGCATGGTTTCTACCCGCGCAAAGCCTGGGCTGCCCCATCCTCTCAGCAGGCTTTTGAGGTCAGCCAGGCGGTTTCATTATCCCCATCGGGACGGGTGCTGAAACCGAAGCTCCCTGAGGCTGGCTAGCCTATGAGGCGCCATCGCTGGCAGGTGGGCACAGAGGAAAGTGCCCCCTGCCCCCACCTCCACGGGCCCTGCTCCGTTCAGGCCTCTTACCTGTCTCCACAAACGGCTGGGCCTCTCTTGGATTTAACTTGAGGTCACAGGGTCAGGGCCTCAGGCCAGCAGGTGAGACATGTTACGGGCTTCCGCTTAGTCCGGCACTGTGGGAGAGGCAGGTTTAGGGTGGGAGAAGTCCTCACCGTCTGAACGATTATCATTTCAGGTAGCAATTACTTGTATTTTCCATGTGGAGAAATGATTTACAGCCTTAATTTGTTTCCAAAGCTTCCTTTTAAGCCAAAACACATTTAAAAAGGGTCCCATGGAGCAACTGAGCCTCTGGTAAGACAGTGAAACTGTTGCCGGAGGCTGAGAGCTGGGCACGGACACGGGGCCTTCACTAGGCTGCAGGACTGTCAGGTCTGTGACGGGAGGAAGTAACGGTCCCCCACAACTCAGTCACGGGACTGGTTACCAAGAAAGCCTTGATTGAGGACATCCCACAGTCTTTTCCCCAGGCCCCTTGGCCCACAAGTGCACCCAAACCCCATTCTCCAGCAGGCTCCTTTGCCTGCCCTCGCCTGTCCCCTCCTTTCATCAGCCACACAGTAGAGTGCTCACTGGCCTAAAAGCTTGGGACCGCAGCCCTAGAGGTAGTGTGTGAGTACATGCACCAGGCGCCCCTGCATCCCTGCCTCAGCTCTGCAAGTCTGCCACAGTTTATTTTTGTGAAAGGTTACCTAACAATAAAATGATAAACTTGAATTAGGCCTGAATTAATTTGCTTTGAGTTTTTTGTTGTTGTTTTCTGCAAAGTAATAATATGTAGAATGAGGCAAGGTAGGACCATCATGGGTTTGGATGGAAGTTAACATCTAATTTTACCCAAGATACGATGCCGTTATTGCACTGTGTCATCTTACCAACAAAGGATTCTGCCACAATATTTATTCTTAAAATAATGTGCCCCTTTCAGTACCACCTTCCCTATCACTGTGCAAAAAAGTTTCAAAATTATAACTCTGGTTCCCACAATTATCCATGGAGGCTGGTGTCATAGGATCTGTGAACAATGATCTTGCAACATTGGCAACAAAGGATGGCCGCCATTCAACAGTGCAGATGGGAGAGGAGGCGTGGGGCAGCTCAAGGGCAAAAAGAAGGAAAGGTCCCTGAAGGTGCAACATAGAAAGTGCAGTGTACACACAGCCCTAACCTTCTGGAGGAAATCACAGGGGCTGAAGAAGTAAGTGTTGGATGGAGAGAGGAAAGAACACAGGACCAGCATCAGTCAACCAGTGACTTGAGAAATGTTTAGTCAGGGGATGCCTTTAGGCCCTAGGTTTCTTACTATCTCATTCTTCAGGCAACGGTTATTTAGGTTCTGGGGAGCCAGGGTTTTACATTAGCCATTAAATCTCTCTGCATAACTGAGTCACTCTGTGTTCCTTTCCAGAGCCGTAAATTAGAGTTGTGGTACTTGCTAATACTTTATAACCTTGAGTTTGCAAGGTCAACCTTTTGGTTTTCTTAATTCCGTCCTAGACACTACGCCTGCAGTTTCAGTAGCTGCCACTTGATATTAGGGTCTGATCCTTGGACTTTTCTGAACCCAAATTCAAGGCTATTCCAGTGTCCTATGTTGCCTTCAAGAGTCAGGGAGGTCAGGATTTCTATTCTGTGATAAAAAGCCGAACTTCCTATGAATATGAAAATCTGAGGAATGGATTATAGCACATACCCCACAGCAAATGGTGCATTTTTATTTTTTGAGAACTGCATTAAAACATAAAATCTAATCTCAGGGTATATTATATCCATTTGAGATCCCCTGCCCATAACAAGGGAGTCTTCAGAATCCCCCCAACTCCCTTGATCAGGTTCGTGTATGGCATACCCTGCTCTCCTGACTTCAGAAGGCAGTCAAAGGTGCCAGCAAGAGGGTTAGCCTGGGACTCCCTCATCCTCCATTATAACCAGTGACTGTCCTTCATGGGTACTGTGGCCCAGCTTCTGAATCACCTCAGTGCCTGAAGGTGGATTGAGGTAAAACTAGATTTGTGTCCCTAGGTGCCAGCAGAGGCACAGTCATGTTGTCTCTGGAGGAAATGAGCTGTTGAGGGCTGAATGTATCCCCCCAGAGTCCGTCTGTGAGCCCTCACCCACAGCATGATGGTAATAGGAGGTGGGGCCTTTGGGGTAGGTGGGTCTAGGTGAGGCCATGAGGGTGGGGCCCCCATGATGGGATTAGGGCCCTTGTCCGCAGAAATGAGAGAGGCCTCTGCTCCATGTGAAGATGGAGCAAGAAGACCACCATCTATAAGCTAGGAAGAGAGATGTCACAGGGAATCAAGTCATCCAGCACCTTGATCTTAGACTTCCAAGAGCATTATTTCTACAATATTAGTCAAATCTATCCAGGTCTATGAGAAAGTCAGATAATATGAACTACATGAATTAAAACAATTAGAGCAGGGGGGAAATTCCCACAGTGTCTCCAGATACATCAGTCATAGAATTTGAAACAGCTATGATTTCTGTGTCCAAAAATAAAAAAGTGTGGTCAAGAACTTCAGAGATTTGAAACTATAAAAAGGAACCAAATGCAAATTCTAGAACATAAAAACACTATAACAAGAATAAGAATAATTCAGAGCCGGATTTAAGAGAAGATTTGTCACAACTGAGAAGAGAATGAGAAAAGTGAAAAATCAGAAGAGACAAGTACCAACTTAGAAGAGGAGGGTAACAGACATAAGGAGGCATGCAGTAGGGGTGACTAACCTAAGTGTAGTCAGAACCTCAGAAAAGTGCTTGAAATAGATATTTAAATAAATAAATGCTGGCTAAGAACTTTTTCAAAGCTCATGAAAGATACCAAGCCATAAATTGAAGAAGCCCCAACAAATCTCAAGTGGAATAAATAAAACAGACAACCCACACCTACATACACCATAGTAAAACTTGAAAACCAATGAGAAAAATGTTAAGGCTGCAGGTGGTGGGGTGGGGTGGGTGGAGATCACCGTCAAAGAAGCGACAAACTGAGGTGAATTCTCAACAGAGGCAGTGGAAGACCAGGAAATCCTGCCTTTAAAATGCTGAAAATTCCAATCTAGAAATTGCTTATTGGGGAAAATACCCTGCAAGAAGAATAAAGACATTTTTAAACAACTGGAAGAATTCATTGGCATACATATTATAAAGGATAATTAAAAGAATATTGTCAAGGTTTAGCACACATAATGTGGGGGGGGGCACACGGAAGGCAGTACAGCACAGAGAAGACAAGTAGTGACTCTATAGCATCTTCTTATGCTGATGGACAGTGGCTATAATGGGGTACGTGGTGGGGACTTAATGATGGGAGGAATCTAGTGACCACAGTGTTGCTCATATAGTTGTATATTAATGATACCAAAATTAAAAAAAAATTTTTTTTAATGTTGTAAAGGCAGAAGGAAAATGTTCCCAAACGTAAGGACAGAACTTCAGGAAGGACTGAAAAGCAATAAAAATGAGGAAGGTACAGGCTGATGTAAACACTGACTACATAAAACAGTAATTGTAGAGTTTTCAATATCACAATAAAATGCATGAATAT